ATAAGATATTCAGAGTAAAATTTTCAAGAAGCAGTACTAAAGGGAAAACCTGAACTCAAGTGTTGAATTCTAAAGGCCTCAATTCCTTGGAGGAGAAAATGTCTTCACTGCCAGGCAGGTGTCTGGAGAACCTTGTACTGAAACCAAAGGACAGGAAAAGGCAGAAAGCACTAAATTGGAGGTGAGGGAAGAAACAATCGGCACCAAATGAAAACAAGCATTAAGGAATGATGCCTGGTCTCACCACATAGGCTTCTTATGTCTGGGAAATGGCCAGTACTCAGGAAAGAATGCGTGCCTTATGCTGACACAGGAGAAGGTGTTCAAGTATGACCAGTGAAGCGTTGAGCAACAAAGAGGAGTCAGAAGAGCCCTGAGAGAACCAGCTTTCTTATTAGATGCCCTGCTCAAAACTTCTGGAGTGCTGCATCTTTCAGACATGTATTTAACCCCACTAGAAAGAATACACAGTTGTGAGCATATAAACATGAAGACAAAGCAGCTGCCTCTTTGTAGATAGACTGTTGCATATGCATTATTCAAATGATCTGTTCTTGGCTGGGCAATGTTGTGGTTTGAATAAGGTTTGTCCTCAGATGAAGTGATTTTTTTGGGTTCCTACCTTAGTTCTCATGTGATTGGGTTGTCATACAGTTGATCTTGACCCCTGTATTTTTCTTCTGGGTTCTTGTTTGGGGTATGATCTCTTCCTCTCATACGTTCTAATGCCATTGTTATAGCAGCCACCAGAGGCTCCACTAGTGCCATGTCCCTGAGCCTCATGAGCTATGAGCTAATCAAACCCTTCCATTACAGTTAACCACCTTCAGGTATTTTGCTGTAGTGATAGAAACAGAGTGCTACAGGTGCCCATTATGCATTGTTTCATTTAATGTGATGATAAACTCTTGCTGTAGGGGTGCTATGTTGTAAGGAGACTGTGCTGTAGATGTGCACTCCCTTTCCCCCATCTCTCTCTCTCTCTCTCTCTCTCTCTCTCTGTGTGTGTGTGTGTGTGTTGCTGTGTTTTGTGCTGTAGGTGATATTATACTGTTTGTCTTATTGTGTGCCATGTTATTGGTGTGTCAGTTGTAAGTAGTATCTTGCTGTGTGTCATGTTGTAAGTGTTGTGATGTGTGTCACGTTGCAGATGTGCTGTGCCGAAGATGGTTTCATGTTGCATTGTGCCATCAGCAAGAAGCAGACTAGTAGGTGTTTATGCGTGTTACATCCGAGGGCCCAGAATTTGCCAAGCTCCTCTTTGTGACTCTTCCTTTCTTGGTCATGCCACGTGGCCTTCTAGGAACCAGAAGAATGACTGATTGAGGACAAGAGGGGAAGCTATACATTATTGTAGCACTACATTCTCTAGCATAAAATAGAAAATCCTGCCTTAGTAAATTTTAGATTAAGCTAAACTGATGTCCTGTGAGGCTCAAACCTCCCTCTAAGAGCAGAGATGAATGTGTGATCTCCAAGAAAGGATACTTCAAAAGGTGGTAAGGTAGGCCAGGTATGGTGGCACATGTCTTTAACCCCAGTACTTGATAGGCAGAGGCAGGGGGATTGCTGTGAATTCCATGCAACCCAGAGCTACATAGTGAGACCCGGACTCAAAAACAACAACAGCAGCAACAGCAACAACAAAATGCAGAACCGTCATTGTCCAGTGTATATTTGCAGAACAGTTCCACCCTAGCTGTCTGCAGGCACACAGGAAATGGCTTACATTTCTTTCTTAAAGAAAGTTTGCAGAAGACTTTGTGAAAGTACAGCATAGGCTTGAGCATATTTTCTGGACTTGGAGGCTGCCACTCAGAAGGCAGAGTTCCTGGCAGCTTCCAATGATGCTTCCCTGAAAGTGAAAACCTGAAAGAAAAGGAGGACAGAGGGAAAGCTGAAGTTGCAGCCAAGGCCCGTTAGAGCACACTCAGGGAATAGGTTGTTAGGGGAGGTAGAGACAATGTGCTATTATTCTCTAGAAGTCATTAGAAGATGGCTCATCCATCCAACCGCACACTTGAGAGGCCTCACAAGGAGGGAGTGGTACCCTAAGGACACATGGCCCAACCTTTGGGAAGTGTAACATGATAAAGCCGGAATCTGGAGAGAAAGCACAGTAAGGACCACCCAGTGGAGCCCACCAATGAAAGGCTAGTCATGAAAAGGGTGCCCTATTCGAAAGGCGAAGGGAGTACCTGGCTCTTGTTAAACTCTTGGTCAACACTACATGCTGTTTTAATGACTTCCAAACATATTTGTGCAGCAAAAAGTACAATCCATCTACTGTGCACATCAGGGTCATTGCTAGGTTACAGCCTAATCTTCCCTCCCACTCAAAGCTAGAGCTGACTTCCAGACACAATCAGTCCCTTGATGAGATGGATCTTAAATCTGAAGCCCACCCTGCCCCTGTGATCACACACACTTCCCTCCTGCAGGGAATGTGGGTCTTGGCTCTTTTCACCCTGCAGGATGGAAGTCTTGACCCTCAAACTACCACCTCCCTTGACGCTACTTTTCAGCATGCCTCCCTATATGGTTCTTGTTGTTGCTTGGTTTTCAGGTTTTGGTATTTTTTATAGACCCCTTCCTTAGTCTTCCAAGTGCTGTGGTTAGAGACAGGTTCCACCACACATGGCTCTCTGAACCATTGGAAAATGGCAGTGTCATAGCTTAAACAGCCGAGCCTTTGGTTTGATCTTATTCTCTATAGGCATGGTGCACAGAGTATGTGTGAAGTAACAGAGACTATGATAGGCTGGATCTTGTATTAGAGTACAAGAGTTGACCTGGGAATTAATGAAGCATAGTCTGGAGGCACAAAAACTCCCTGCAGTGCAATGATCTGAGAGGTTTCTGGGGAATGGCACATTTAACCGAGTTTTGAACTGTATGTAGGAGTAAGCTATAGGATAAGAAAAAGCAAGACTGTGGATCAGAATGCTTGAAGCTCCTGTGTGACCAGCAGACTGACAAATCATATGTATGTATGTATGTATGTATGCATTATATATGTGATATACAGATATATAATATATATTCTATGTCTATATCTATATATCCATATCTTTATCTGTATCTATAGATAGATAGATAGATAGATAGATAGATAGATAGATAGATAGATAATCTGGAGCAGAGAGGTTTATTTTATTTTTAAATTTAAATTAGAAATAAGATTGTTTTACATGTCAATCCCAGTTCCCTCTCCTTCTCCTCCTCCCCTGCCCCCTATTAACACCCTACCTATCCCATCACCTTTCTGCTCCCCAGGGAGGGTGAGACTTTCCATGGGGGATCTTCAGAGTCTGTCATATCCTTTGGGATAGGGTCTAGGCCCTCCCCTGTGTGTCTAGGCTGAAAAAGTATCCCTCTATGTGGAATTGGCACCCAAAGTCCATTCCTATGCTAGGGATAAGTACTGATCTACTATCAGAGCCCCCATAGATTTCCAAGGCCTCCTCACTGACACCCATGGTCAGTGGGTCTGGATCAGTCCTATGCTGGTTTCCCAGCTATCAGTCTGGGGACCATGAGCTCCCCCCTGTTCAGGTCAGCTGTTTCTGTGGGCTTCACCAGCCTGGTCTTTACCCCTTAAGCAGAGAGTTTTGTGGGATATCTGGGCCTGAGTACAGAGAAGTTCTGAGACTGCTGAGAATTGGCGTTCCCACTAAACAGAGGAGAGATGGCAAACACTTACCTTAGTAGTGGCCTGATTTAAAGAGAGAATTTTCATGCTATGTGTGAACAGTGGGGCAGAGGCTAGGTGTGTGAGGGCAGAAAGAAGGCAGTTTCAGCAGCCAGATGGGACCTTCAGCTGTTCTGAGGTAGCATCTATAGGATAGACAGATGTGGAGAGATGGTGGGCAGGTGTGTGATACCTGTTGAAGGTGTTTCCTTGGAGCATGTTACTTGGATTGATGTGGGGTGAAGGAGCATCTTCTGTCATTTATTGTTGCTGTGCTAAAGTATCCTGAAAAAACTAAAACAATTTAAGGGAGATAGCATTTATTTGGCCACAATTCTAACATTACAGGAAGGGAACAGGGACTTGAAGCAACTCTCCATATTATATCCACAGTCAAGAGCAGAGAACAATCAATTCATATGCACCAGTGTTTAGCCCACTTTCTCCTTGTCCTTCATTCTAGGGCCCCGTCCATGAAATGGTTCCACCCACACTCAAGTGAGTATTCCCACATCAACTAACCTAACTTTGACAATCCCCCACTGGTTCTAGACAAATCCTCATTAAAACCCCATTCCAAGGTGACTACAGGTGGTGTCGAGTTGATAATTAAAATCAGCCTAATAGAGAAGTTTTCAACAGTTTGGGTTCGAATACCTAGATTTATCTGAATAGAAATATCTGGAAACAGATAGAAGGTAAGAGAACTATAGTAAATCTAGCCCTCAACTGTTGGGTGTGAAGGATCCAGAAACCAAGGTTGAAAATGGGGTGGTGGTGGGAGTGGTGGCTGCTGCATTGTGCCTCAGCTTCTTGATGCTTGTTTACACTTTCCTCTTAGGATTCTAGGAGCTGACTCACATTGGCTTTCCAGAAACAGGAAAGCATTGAACCTACAGTCTGGAACATTAACTTGGGGGCCTATGAGTTAGCAGGGAATGTGAAAGTTACAAAGTGGGAAACTGAAATTAGCAATGAGAGGTCAGCCTTCCTCTCCAGATCTCTGACACACATCCCACATCCAGGTTTCTGTGCATCTGTGTGAGAATGTGTGAGCAGGCCTGAGTTCTATATTGCCATGTGTGTCAATGTAGAATAAGGGTTAAGATGAAATGAGAAAGTAATAGGAGATGACGACTAGGGAGATGGTCCCGTGCTCTGGCAAACATGTTTGAGATTCTTTGTCCCTCTGACACAGCTCAGCAGGGTGACTGTACAGGATGAAGTGAAAGTCGTATTCAGAGAGGGTGGGTTTCCTGTGGGTGTCCACAAACCATGACGTGAAGACTGTGGGAGTAAAGGGAAATGATAAGTGGTTTGAAAGTCCTAAAGGGCAAGAGGTGATGTGTGCGTTTCCAAGGGCAGAGAAATGGCTGGTTACACAAGCTTCTGATAAGAAAGTTCACAAGAACACGTCTATCCTGTTCCTGCACAGGGGCAGCTCAGGAATGTCAGAAGAGCCATTCTTGGGTGAGTCACAGGGCATGGAGATTTGGTGAGAAATGCTTGCTTTTAATGCCAACCTATTCCAGCTGCTTTTTTTTTTTAGAGGGTTCCTTTCACCCTTTACCCCAGAGGTTAAGAGTGTGATACCACAGGAACCAAGGGCAGCTGCCAGGAGTCCTGACTCCCAGTCATCCAACTGTAAGAAACAGCCCCTGAGTCCTGAGCCACTACTCCTGACTATTCAGCCCTAGGTGTTTCGGCTTCCCACAACCCACGTCTTTGGCTTTCTGCTCTGTTGTGGCTGGATAATGACCTCCCTCTGCATCCCTCATTTAGTGAGTCACATCATTGCATACATGCAAGTTTGTGAGGGCTCTGTTTGCATCATGCTTGCTTATGTGCTGATTTGTGTCACATGGTCGACCCCAGCAGTGAAGTTTATTTGCCATCATTGTGATAATGTCATAGGAAAGGTTAAAGACTCTTGGTGACAGCCAAGTCCACAGCTCTGAGGTCTCTGATTTATGTCTCATTATACTCTTATCCAATAGTTCCGGAAAGTTATTTACACCACAATAGAGAAAACACTAGAATATTGCATTCATTCAATCTGTAGTGGTGTTTATTGAAAGACTACCAAAATGGTATCTACCTCAAATAGAAGGATCGAATATCATTCTAGTATAAACAAGGACAATACACAGTATTAAACTCTCACAATCTCTTTGGGGGAACAAGCCAATCATATACAGAAATTTAAAACACAATCTGCAACATGAAACATCATAGGTCAAAAACACTGCCTATCATTTCTTGGTGTCAGGTATTGTGATTTCTTGCCACTGCAGCTTTTTTTTTTCCCAAAGAAATCTGAATGAAAAGGGTCTGGCTGAGATGCAGCTTAGTTGGTAGCATGCTCACACTGCACGCATAAAGTTCTGTGTTTAATACCAAGCACCACATACAAGATGTCCATAATCTCAGCACTTGGAAGGTAGAGGCAGGAGGATAGGAAGATTCAAGGTCATCCTTAGCTAAACAGTGAGTTTGACATTAGCCTTGGCTACATAAAACACTGTACCCCCAAAGAAAGAAAGGAGGGAGAGAGAGAGAGAGAGAGAGAGAGAGAGAGAGAGAGAGAGAGAGAGAGAGAAGAGAGACTGAAAGCGAGAGGGGAGTTATGTAGAACAACAGTGAGGATAGATCAGATTTGTCTTTACAGGTTGAGTGTTTTTTTTCTTTAAACTTATATGTACTTTCTATAAGTTAAAAAATAGAAGAATTCTAGTTTGTCACAATTAACTTTCTTGGTTTATCATTTGTCATCTAAATTTACCAGTAGTTATTACATTGTATTATAATTTATTTTGATATAGTGTCTCACTGCATAGCCTAGGCTGGCTTGGAACTTATAATCTTTCTGCTTCAGCTTCCCAAATGCTGTCACTCAAGCTCTGTTGCAAGATATTTGATCACACTGTAAATATGTGTTGCTGTTTTATTATGACTGGTTTAAAAAAGAGCTGAATGGCTAACAGGTAGGCAGGAGAGGTTAGGCAGAACTTCCGGATAGAAATAGGAACTCAGAATCTGGCAAGGAGGAAATGCCAGTGAGACACTAAAGAAGTCGGACTACATTATGGAGGATAGTTAAGAAGCCACATAGCAGAATGTAGAGTAATATAAATGGGTTAATTTAAGTTATAAGAGTGAGTTGGTAACAATCCTAAGCTAAAGGCTAAGCTTTCATAATAATGTGTCTCCATGTCATTATTTGGGGGCTGGTGGTCCAAAGAAAGTTTAACAAGAAAGACCTACTAAACAGGTCTGTACCACTACTCTTCATTTCATTTTTAACCAGTCATGTTCACCAACATCTTGACAAAATATCCATGCTAATGACATCATCCAGCCATCTTTGAGATTTTTGCCAACTTTCCAATGCCAAGACCATCTAGATGTGTTTGACTTTACCTTTATGAGGATCTGTTGATCAAGAGAGATGGTGGGCCATCTCTGACTTGATTTGTAGCTTCTCAGTGACCTATTCTTGGTGGGCCACCAGGCAAATGTGAGACATATGTCTGGCCCTGGGAGTGTGACATGAGCTTGGTCTGTAGTCCTGAAATCTGTTTTGTTTCCTTCCATTTACCCAGGTGCCATAAAACAGCATCCTCTTAAGTCTGTGGTCACAGAGCCCTAAGGTCCCCAGGATCAGAGAATATGCCTATCCCACAAGCCTCCACCTCCTTGCCCATCTACATTGTTTCATGGGTGTCTTACTCCTGCAAACACCATGGTCTCCTGTAGCTACCTTGTCATTTTGTCTTACTAACAAGCTGTTGGTGATTCAAGATCCATACCTCTGTTCAGTTTATGCTTCCCTCTGCTCTCCCTAGATGGAGCACAAGAGTGCATTTCAGTGCACCTTCCATTTTTAACAGGAAGGCCAGTTTGTGAAGAGGGGTTTGTTTTAGGGACCTGTGCTCTGTGATGATGTTAGTGGTTTTTAGTGATGAAGGTGACGTGTATAAAGTTCTAGAAGCAGAGGACTAGGCAATCTGGTCTAACCTTCCACCTTTTCCCATCAGTCCCTGCTAAATTAGTGATTGGTTAGATCTATCACTCTAAGTGGATTAAAAAAAGAAGAATCTTCTATTTCAAAATATCAAGTTTTCCACAGCCAAATATTAGGCAGACCTTGGGGAATCCTGTGGAAGAAGGTGACAAAAGATTATAGGAGCCAGAGGGGACAAGGATACCACAAGAAAAACCACAGAATCAACTAAACTTGGGCTTATAGGGGCTCACAGATACCAACTGTCAACCAGAAAGCTTGCAAGGGACTGAGCTAGGCCTTCGGCAGATATGTTACAGTTGTGTAGCTTGGTTTCCTTGTGGGAATCCTAACAGTGGAGCTATCTCTGACTCTGTTACCTGCTTTTGGGACCCTTTCTTTCTATTGGGTTGCTTCATCCAACCTTAATAGGTGAGGAGATGTCTAGCCTTACTTCAGCTTGTCATGTCATAGTTGGATGATATACATGGTAGGCCTGCCCTTTTCTGAAAAGAAAAGAGGAGGATTTGATGGGGGGAGGAACTGGGAGGAGAAGAGGGAAGGAGGGAAAATTGTGATTGTGCTGGGAAATTAATTAACAGAAAATAAAATAAAAATAAAAAATAATAAATTTACTTTGTCATTATGTTCTTATTAACAATATTCTTATTATTATTTCTAATAATAGATTATTAATAAATAAGATAATCAATAAGAATAAAAAATAAAGCACTTGGGAAACAGAGGCAGGCGGATCTCTGTGAGTTCGAGACCAGGGTGGTCTACAAGAGCTAGTTCCAGGACAGCCTCCAAGGCCACAGAGAAACCCTGTCTCGAAAAACCAAAAAACAAAAGAATAAAAAATAAAATAAAAATTAAAAATACCCAATAAGTAGTGTAGGCAGTAATCCTGTTTAGAGGTACTGCTGACCATGCGTGCTTGGGGATAGCTAGGTACCAAGTGGATGTGGTTCGAGTGATGTAGCAAGGGTTTAAGTATTAGAGAGGCACGAGCATGGCCCTCTCTTTTCTTGCTCCCGCCTGGCTGTGCGGACATCTGTGGGTCTCTCTGGCTCCAGTGTAAACTTGGTCACTGGCCCTTACATGAGTACTATCCCTTTAATAAACTACCTGCCGTCAATCTAGTTCTGACTCCATTGCGTTCAGCATTAAAGTAGCTTTGCCTATCAATGTATCATGTGTCTTCTAAAAAAAGATTTTATTTTATTTTATTTTATTTTATGTGCATTGGTGCTTTGTCTGCATTCATGTCTGTGTGAGGGTATTGGATCCCCTGGAACTGGAGTTACAAACAGTTATGAACTGCCATGTGGGTGCTGGGAATTAAACCTGGAGCCTCTGGAAAAGCAAGTAGCCAGTGCTCTCAACACCCGAAGCCATCTCTCCAGCCCCCTGTATCTAATTTTAGTAACAAATGATTGAGAAAGTAACCTGTGATACTGTGGAACACTTTGCTTCTAATACAAGTTCTCCTGGAAACTTTCATGACAAATTGACAGAGAAGAAAACTAAAAAGCAGTGTCATAGTATGGCAGAATTTTATATGTTCTACTTTTGTGGATGGAGACTCGGCCCAGACTGGCTGATCCTACTAGGACTTGAGACTTTCTTTTTGTAATGATACAAAAGCAAAACACATTTACTAGACATGGTACTTGAAATATTGAGTGTGGATCTTCTCAGCTAGTGACACATCCTACCATACTTCTCTCAAGATGTCAGGCAGTAGTAGCCAGCCACAGTGGTATAAAGGCCAATGGTCTAATTCTTTACAGTGTATTGACAACAGTCGGGATACAAATTTCAATAGATTGCATGAGATCTTTCATATTTATAATAAAATGGGATTTTTGTTATTGGTTCCACTCGGCTTTAGGGCAAGATTGGTGTTCTGTCATATTTAAGACAAAGTAAGCTAAGCTATGATGTTTGATAGAGTGTGTACATTAAATGTATCTTTTATCTGGGGCGATGCTTGCTTGTGTAAATATGAGGACCTGAGTTCAGATCCGCAGCACCCATGTTAAACTCCAGGCATGGTGGCATTTACCTCTTATCCCAGTGCTAGGGAGACAGACAAGAGGATCCCTGGGGCTCATTGGTCAGCCAGTCTAGTCAATCTCTGAGCCTAAAAGCTCAGTGAGTGACTCTGTCTCAAAACTAAGGTGGAAAGTGACTGAGGAAGATACCTGATGTCAACCTCTAGCCCCTCACATACCCACAAACATGTAGCCAAGTGAATAAGACTTAAAATTTTTTAGGGGGGGCATCTGGAAAAAAAAACACAAACCACACAGCACAGCTAGAGAGGTGGATTTAGAAGCTACACCAATGACCTATGGGCAGATCAAGATAGAACTGGCCACAGTGGTGCAGGTGTGCTTCTCAGCTCATACATCAGTGCCAGGTGGCCCTTCTGTTCCCAGAAGGCAGAACACAGACACAC